AATTCAATCGGCCGATGGTCCCTAGTGTTAGCCCAGCCGACGTCTAGAGGACCCAGTCTTTACACCCACAGCACATTAAAGCTCAGGTGATGCCGACGAAAACAAAGGATCTCTAGTGGGCTATCCACACTAGGAGGGAGAGGGGTATGACATTTCTCTAGCGTCAGTGACAAGCGCTCAGCACTTCACGACCATTGAAGCGTTACCGTTCGTATTGCCGTGTCTACACCCATGGCAATCGGGTGTTTATAGCTTCCTTCTAGTGCTCCTCGTAGGGTGGAGTTGAAGATAGTGTTAATGGGGAGGTTGCAGTCTCGAAGGCATCATCATCCTTGTCGCGCTGTATGTCTGTGGTTGAGGAGGATGACAACGCAGAGCACAACATCTCGCGAATATCTACATCGCTTTCGCCGGCCTTGTTCGTGGACTTGCAGCAGAAAATAAAGACGTTGGAGAGGAAGCTCGCGTCGCGTGAAAAGGACCTCACGAGTAGGAACGATAAGACCCATGGACCGAATCGAGCTCGGCTGTTGACAGGCACTAGAGCTGCGTTGCAGAAAACCGAAGCCGATCTGAAGGTATTTCCATAGGGTAGAGTATGTGGTGTAAGAAGATCACCGTTTTCAGGAGTACTGGAAGGAGGCTCAGTTGCGCAAAAGAGAAGTTCAGGCGCTGGAGACGAAGCTCGAGGAAATGAGGAAAGAACGAGACCTTGCACTTGCCGAGAACAGGAGGATTGTGAATGACCGCAAGTTTCTGGTGTGCCTACCCGGACCCCCTGAGAGGTCGGCGATCTGCTTGGTGACTTAGACGCGCTCACTTGCACGCTCGCGAGACCAGTTGGGTGTCGTAGAGCTACAGCGACAGCAGGAGGCGATGTCCCGGGCGAAAGTTGAGGAGGAAAAGTTGGAGAAAGAGAGAGAAATTGACGCAGCGAAGAACAAGAGCCGCATGCTGGGTGTGCCTGTCACCACTAGAGTTATGATGAGATATGATACACTGGCGTGTTGTCAGCAAGCACGCAGTCGTCGTTGACTAGCCAGATCGCTATTGAGAGGGAACGTAGATGGAAATTGAAGAAGGCTGTGAGAGATAAACTGAAGCGAGTGGAGGCTAAGGAGACCTTCATGAAGAGCGTTGTAATCGCGAACAAGCGCATCTTTGTCGGCGATCCCGGTACCCTCTATCGTCTCAGTTGGATGACCACAGTATGACCGCTGAAGCCTGGGAGGATAAGTTGGCTCAAGAACGCGACCGAACAGAAGAGGCACTGAAGCAGTTGGAACGGTGGGTTGATCTGCTCTTGTTGTGTGATTGATACAATGATGATGATGGCGCAGTGCTAACGCACTCGCATCGAGGTTGGAAGAGGCGCTTATTGGCAAGCAATCGGCGAAGGACCAGATGCAGTACCAGCTAAGAGAACTGCAGAGTGAGGGGAGTTGACGGGATTTCAAACGACCGAGAGTTCGTGACATGGAGTTGCTGTCAGATTCGAACAAGCAATTGAGGGAACAGCTGGAGAAGACAAGCCGGAAACTCTTCCTCGTGGAAACTGACAAGAAGGAGACCGCCAAGTGAGTGCCAGCACTCCTGCTCGTCACTGCCCTTACCCCTTCGTTAGATTATGGCGTATGATGCATTTGGCACAGATAGACGCGAACACAGCAGCCAAGTCGGCTCATTGGGAGAAGGGCAGTGCGAGGACCGAAGAAGATGCGAATTCATAATTATAAACTTAACCATGGATCAGCGCAATTATTTATTAGTGGCCCGGTTTGCGATTCCCTTACAATGTGATTGTGTTCTGTTAGTAAGTCGTGTGTCGAAAATGACAGAATTATTGTCGGCTTTTCGGGCATTATAGCCATGATAAGGGAAATCCGCCTCCGAATGTGGTTGTGGTGATGGATGACTTTGTTATGTCTGCCAGCGAGGTCTCGGCAAAAAGGTTCGAGAGACTTTTGCTCTATTGCTGGCAGAAGACTGGTTTCCGTTGTCCAGTCGACAAACGGGTAGTCAATCCCAACTAGAGACTCTCAGCTTGAGTGCTCTCTTTTGATACTATTGTATAGCTCAGTGCTATGTATATATACAGATGCTAAACGTGGCACTATGACGTTGCAGTGTGTAGTCTCTGTATTCATTCTGTTCTCGACGAGAACTAGAACTTCTCGTTGAAGAGCTTGCAAGTGAGTTTTCCACAGTTTACTGGTGTTTTGAATAACGAGATGCTGCGTAAGTGAAACCCGCGCGAATGCAGAGAAGCGATCGTGTTCAAGCTGTACAGCTGCCAAGTTCTTATGCTATAAGTTCTACCCTGGCATCTCATGAACGGAGAAGAGTAGGATTCGAGAGATCTGTAACGCTTTTCTGTCGGAGAGAAATACGCTAGGATTTCTTGGAGGGGAAACACTCAGCTGAGGTAGCCTCTTACAAGACATAATTGAACAAGTGTGTGCCAACTAATAGTGCGTTCTGCAATACTCGCGGTTGGCTAGTAGGCTAATCGTAGCGTGTTTGCGAGATGTTCACCATCTTGTGTGTGGTGTTGATTAAAGGTCTTCCCTTTCCGCCCTTCCCTCGACGTAGGGGGACCTGGAGCGATTACATTTCGGCGGTTGAAATGTGGTTGGACTTTCATCCTCTCGTGTAACCATGTCCGGGTCTGCATACGTGAATCTGGCCTCGCAGTGAATGTTCATTTTGCGGGCGCCATTTTCATATGTGCCTCTCCCAACCTCTATGTGTTTCGGAACTTGAGAATTGATGTAAATTGTGGACATTCAGACAAGACCTTGTCATCGCTAGAGACAACGACCACTCCTTGGCATCGCCGCCAAGTCCAGCTCGAGTTCCGGCTCTCTCAGCTCGCCCGATGTCCCCGATGGAGTTATTTTGTTTATTGTCAACTCTTGTTCTTTGAATAGGGAGTCTTCCACGCTCCAGAATATGGACTCTAGTCATGATGTCGAACTGTCTTTCAATCAACTCGCAATGCAGAGTTTGACTCTGCAAGCATGGATGCGTCGATTGCCATGGACGTGAAGATTCGCGATAGAATCGCAAGATTTCAAGCTGTGATCTTGGCCTTGAAACCCAAAATGTTATGCACGTATGTGCATGCAACTACTTGTTACCAGTAGGCACTATATTCTTATTCTGATGTTTCGTGTCTCAACGAAATGTACAGGAGGCTTCGAATTGCTTGACTCAGCTTCGTTGACACTAGAAATGAATATCTTCTTGGCCTTCGTCATCGTGATTATCAATGCTGTCCTCTGGGAAGGATGCAGTAGAAAACATCACGAGGGTCCATCCTGAGCGCTGATACAGATCCTTCGGTCAGGTAGTCAAACCTGGACGACCACTAGTCCCACACAAACTCCTGGACCGGCTCCGATCGGTACATTCGCGGTGAACATCTCCTTGTCACCTATAGGCTCCGCATCGGCTGGTCTCACTACCTCAAATGCAGACCCCAATAAGTTGCTCATAACGAGGCTGTAAGCCGATCGTTCTTGCACACCACTCTTAGCTTAGATTCTTATTAATATATCTCTAGATTCCTTGTATTGGAAACTACGCCTCCCGAAGTGCTGATCAACGCCACAGTGGACGTGCGGTTTCACATGGAAGGACCCAGGGTTGTTCTGAACGACTTGAACCACTTCCCATCTGATGTACGGTCTTTTATCGAAAGTAAGTCTCAGGACCGCCGTGATAT